ATCTACGACCAGTGTTCTTAATAAGATGGCAGGTATGTGCTGCTACCGGAAGTCAATTCTCAGGAATTGCAGAGAAACAGCCTCAATTTTGAAGCCAAATCTTTGTTAGTGAAAGGCAATATATGCATAAGTGAAAGAATTTTACATGACAGGAAATAAATATAATGGGGCAAACCCATGTTTTATATTTGTCACCTAACTTACGAAATTTCGATCTCTCTCATGTAGACTTTCAGTAGTGAGAAATTAGGTGAAGTGTATCCCCACTGTTACATTGTTTTCTTTTTAGGGCTTATTTCATCAGTGAGAGGTTGGCTTTTAACATCATTAACAAGGAGTCCAAAGGCTAAAACTAAACATGAAGTTTTCACTTTTATACTTACCCCTCTGCCACTGGGGACTATTCTACACAAAAGTTGCCATCTTACCTACGTAAGAGATTTTTCTATGCTTAGTAGGAAATACCTTAACTCTGCATTTTTCCTTTCCACTTACAGCCAAATAAGCATTACTTTACAACTGTATTTTATATTTTACCAATTTCACCCCTTCATCATTAATCTTCCATAGAACACTGCAAGCTCAATTGCTTGTTTCACTCCTCAATGGCAAGGAAATCTTCAACCATACCACACAAAAGGAAGACTAAGGGATGCAATAACTGGAGACTTAGTCAACCCAACTCTCCTCACCTATCTTCAGTACTGCAATTATTGTTACTGTCCACAGTAACTGTTGTCTAGATACTTTGCCAAATTTATCATGTTTTTTTCCTGTGTGCTCCTCCTTTACCACCTGCCACTATCTGGATTAAAGGAGCAGGAGTCCTTGAGTTACAATTACCTCTGAGCCAACAAGCCAGAGTGATGGAGGAATAACGTGACCTACACGCTTTGTCCCTCACAAACATGTACTCCACAGACTGAGCTCATGAATTCCACTTTCCTTGGCTCAAAGCCTGGAAACTTGAGTCTTTATCAAGTGCCAGGCCTCCCACTGAGGGCAAAATTAACCTCAGTCTACAGGTCAGAGCAGCCTGATTTCCTTGTATTTTGCAAAATACCTCTTTGAGGATATGAGGTTAATGAAGTTGTCTGGGTAGAAGCATCTGACACCCTTTGGTAGGTGTTTTAGTTCTGAAAGGTTGGTTGTTTTTCTTTTTTTTTTTTTTTTTTTTTTTTAAAACCAACTCTAATGGTGATTATGCAATTTAACAACAGCCCCTCTTTCACTTACCATTGCAACCTCCTCCCTAACCACAGATAACCTCTAATTTAATATTTAACTGTAGTTTAGAATTTAAAAATTCATTTAAATGCTCCTCATGACAAAGAAAACAGTTGTAAGATTAATAATGCAGTGGTTTTACGGATCTGTAAGGCCCTCAGCTTCAATTTGCCTCTTCATTAAATGCTAAAATTGCAGTTTAACATAACAGTCCATGGAATCAATAGTACCTTTGAATTTATATGGATCACTTGCATGTCTCATCTGTTTTTGGGGACCCAATCTTCAAGAGATTAGCAAAAGACCATGTTCATACCATCCCTTCCCTTCATGGTATCCAGGGACCTTACTGTTCTGTTGTGCTACACCTTCCCCCTCCCCAAACATTATTCATGTGCTTTTAGCACCCACTTCCAACTACTTCCTACTTTCTACAAAACTATCTAGCCATCCATTAGCAATCAGGAGCACTTTTACAGTTTAACTATGCTAAATGAATACCAGTCAATTAATATTTAGTAAAGAACCTAGCTAGTACTGAAGAGAAAAATAGGCTCTATATCCTTTAAACTTTTATAAACTAAAAGAGAACAAACACGGCATAATCAGTTCCATAACAGAAAAAAGAGGTATCCTTGATTCAAACTTTTTAAAAAGGTAAACAGTGCAAACTTCTGCTTCTGCACTGTCATTTCAATTTCTCCTTACTAGCTACTTCAGAAATGGTTCACATTGTGTAGTCAGGCAGAGAAAAACATACACGAAAGTTACACAGATTGTCTAACTTGTTCGTATCCTGAGCCAAAAAGGGCAGTATGTACACTGTACTTTGGAGAATGAGCTTAAAAGGAAAATGACTTGTTTAATGTTTGCCTGGTTTTACAATAGCTACAACAACAACAAAAAAATTTTTCTTCTATTAAAAAAAAAAAAATTTTCCACAGAAAAACTTCATTCTGTATATAGACCAACTTACCCTTGCCTTCCAAACTAGCAACCCATATTTCTATATGGTTGCCTGACCACGACAGGTAGACTATACTGAAAAAAAGCTACACAGATTTGCATAGGTTATCTAACAATATAGGTCAACATCAAACATCAAAATCTGGTCAATTAAAAATGCCAGCTGCAACTTGGATTTCAAGAAAACCAAACCAAAACAAAAATACTTGCACAGAACAAAGAGGTCATGTCAGTGAGCTAACACCCACACTTTCCAAACTCTGTAAGCTTTTATTAATGCCAAAGTTATTAATCCATACTGTTCTGAAGAATTCACAAGAAGCAAATAAAGACTGAGACCATCTCAACCTCTAAACTGTGCATACTGACTGCCCAGCACCTTATCAGTTTACTGCTCAAGATCTTCTCAAATGAAGCAGTAGAAAATAAGCATAGCATCAAAAAAATCCCAAGACATTCTGTCACTTCCACCACTCCTATTCACAGGCCTGCAGGTAAATGGGAAAGTCAAACAACACTCATGCGTACACTCTGAAAAGCCAGTAGAAGTCAGATGTTTCTACCTGGAAGGAAAGATGGGCACCAGCTCCTTACTGCATCAGCCAGGGGACTGGAGGAAAAAAAAAAAAAAAAAAACCAAAAAACAAAGAGAAAGGCTGACTTTGTAAAGGCTGACCATGGCTGCCCCATATCCACTTATCGCGGGCTCCAATTGCCATGTTTAGTTCACCACATATTAGATCTTCAGTTGAATCTCCAAGATTCATATTTGTCTGAAGAGAAAGGAGAGACTCAAGGTAAGTTAGAGGAGCACAGCATGTAAGAGGACTGACTTTGCTGGGGAAGAGAGTAAGAAAAAACCCAAACTGCATAGAGGGCAGACTACCACTACAAACAGTAATACAATCAATAGCTGTGGGCGGAGAGAGCAAGAAAAAGAGCAAACATTTAAAAGTACAGCAGAAAGCATGCTGAGATACAACATAAAAGAAACTACATGGAACAAAGTAAAAAGTGAAAAATATCTATTAAGATCTACTGTCTTTTTTGACTAAGATCTCTGAAGCACTGAGCGACCTTTTGTCTATCTCTGCATCGCCCCAGTACACTGGCATGCGACTTACCTGCTGGCTTCCAGAATATACTACAGAAACAGCAAAGAGCAGCAAGAGACTGATGCTGCAAACCAGCCTATCCAACGGGGTGTTTTGTTTTTTTTAAGAAATACACAGTTTATTCAGGAACTAGACTTAAAAGCACAATGCTCCTAGGTCTCTCCAGATAGCAACTACGGGGAGGAGAAATTTCCTTCGGTACCGATCAATTAATTGGCGGTGCTGGGCTGCAACATGCAGTTTGAAAAAAGCATCAGTCAAATGTGTGCTACTACGATAAGAATCTGTAATAAAAAACAGTTGTCCATGTCACAGATCAAATCAGAGCACTCACGAGAACACAGTCATTATTACTATTCATTACAAACAGTGCTGTGTTTTGATGGTGGAAATACAGTCTTAAGTTCACCTGAATAGGCATCACATCCCCAATTCATATCCTGATCAGCCATTACATTTATAATATAAAGGTAAATAACAGACACCTCAAATCATTAGTCTACTGAATCATAAATAAGGACAGAGTGCTGGAGACATCCCCGATACGGAAGTAAAATTCATTAAGCAGCTACTTGGGAAATTTCTGACCTTCTATATGGAGATGAAACACTTCATACGCCATAGATAAATATACTGAGCGCAATTCAAATTAGTTCTAAAATTTAACAAGGTAAAAAAAAAGGTGTTTCTACTCAGTACATCCCTCCATTCTGCAATACAAGCAGGAGCATTGCAACGGACTTACTGGTTACCCCAAATCATTACTTTCAGCTTAAATTTGAAACAAATATCCTGCGCAGTATTGAAAATCTGAGTAAACATTACTTACAGATTCACTGCCTGTGGACCAGTCCATGTACCACACACATATATACACACCTAACTCCAAACCTATGCTGTACTGGCCCACATATAGTCAAATACTCAACATAACAGCTATAAATGGTTTTGGAATACTATTACCTATGTTTATGACGTGGTCTGAAAGATTTTGTAATATATGGTGTGGACCACAGCCAATGTTTTTGCTTTTTCAGTCTCACATACTTGTGCCCTTGGCACCATTTTTTTGGGAAATCTTTTTTGGAAATATTACAGGACTCTTAAGGATGTTCCCTATTTAGGCTAATTGAGTATTTTATATAATCTTCTTTACATTACAGGAAAACCCCAAAGAACAAGGGGAAACAAAACACATAAGCAAAAATCACCAAGTCAAATAAACCAGGAAGGACAATTTTAAAATGAGGAAACCTTACTTGCAGAAGTAAAACCACTGAACTAGTAAGATATAAAAAGGACAAACATTCCAAACTTTTATTTAGTCCACGATATGGACAGAAATAAGCTCTTTACAATTTTTACTTTTAAGTAGATTTACAATACTGAATGTATTTCTAAATGCCACATCTTTAACCTCTCTTAACACTTAGGTGGATCCAAACTGGATCCATCCATAGTCAGGAAACTTCTATAAAATCTTCTTTAAAACTGTATCTTGTTGCTATTGACTCCTCCTTTATTTAAGGTAGCTGCTACTGGAGTTTTGCATGAAGCTGAGTCAGGGACACTCCAACCATCCTTAGAAATGACAGCCATTTTCATACAATCAGCAGAACTTAGTCAAGGCAGTTCTATGCACACAAACACACACAAACATTTACATATTTAATAATAAAATATAAAACTTACCTTTGTGCATCTGCAGATCGTTTCCAGCCTCCCCGCAGATCTTGTGAGATATCTTTCCCAATATTATTTAAGATGGCATCATCTTTAATTACACAATCCTCTCTTATTCTAGATGTAGAACAGATAGGCTCTTCCATTTTCAAATGCTTTGGCTGCATGTCCTCTAGAAGGGTATCTGTGTTCTGTAAATCCTTTTCGCATCTGTTGGGTTTGTCTTGGAAGGCAGAGGGTTTAGATTCTACCAAAGAAGATCTTGTTGCAATATTAAATAAGCTTCCAAGAAAATTTAAAAAACCTTCTCGAGGTTGCTTGTATTTATCTGCTGTTTTGGTTCCAGGAGTCAAACTAGGAAGGCTGTTAGCCTTTTTCAGCTCCTCCTGGATTTCAGACTTGCTAAGTTCTTCTGTGGAATGGTTCTTCTCTTCATTTTGACAAACCTAGGATAAATACAAAAAGCACATAAAGAACACATTTCCTGTAATTTTCCAAAATTCCTTAATCTTATATTTGCTCCTATGCATTGTATTCCTTTCAGGATATCTGTTGTTTATAGGTTCATTTTGAGATCAAAGACCTGTGCTCTCTTCTCTTTTTGTACTAAAAAGGTCCCTATTCTACGAAAGGCCAAAAGGACTGCATAGGCTAAAAGATTCACAAAGCAGCTGCTGTGGAAGTAAAGTACTGAAAAACAGATGGAGAACAATTGCTTAAACTGGCAGAAAAAACTCAAAGAAGCAGCAAAGAACATTTTTTCACACTTTTTTTTTCCCCACACTTTTTGTGGTTTAACCGTAACTAGCAATTAAGCACCATGCAGCCACTCACTCACTCCTCCCCTCACCTCCCCGCAGTGGGATCTGGAGGAGAATTGGAAAAAAAGTAAAACTCAAGGGTTGAGATAAGAACAGTTTAATAATTTAAGTAATAATATATTATTATGGCTATTTTAAAAAGAGAGAGAGAGAGAAAACCCAAGACAGACAAGTGACGTACAATACAGTTGCTCACCACCTGCTGCTTGATCCCTAGTCAGTCCCCGAGCTGCGACTGGCTCTCCCTGGCCAGCTCCCCCCAGTTTATATACTGAACATGACGTCCTATGGTATGGAATATCCCTTTCGTTAGTTTGAGACAGGTTGTCCTGGTCATGCTCCCTCCCAGGTTCCTTGTTAACCTCCTTGGGGAACTTATAAGTCCTTGAATTGTTTATGTGAGGATAGAAATTGAACAGCACTAATTTGCCCTTGAGAAATGCAACCTCTGTTTTCTTCACACAGGCAAGACACATAAACAATCACATTAAACTTTTAAGTAAACTTTCAAAAGTGGGGTAAGTCAAACTCTAGCCTTCTTTCATCCCACCTGCTTCCCCACATACTGCACTAAGCAATAGCTGATGCATCACAAAAGGATGTAGTCACCCCTACAGCATTCATGATTTATGATTTCACAAGTCAACTCTACCCAAACTCACCCCTGGAAATGAAGACAACAACAGTTCAGCTTACAGATGTACCACAGTGCTGGCTGGTATCTTCAGTACTAGGCAAACTATGCAAGTAACATGCAAACCTGGGATAAATCTCTTCAACAATTAACTTTCATACGAACCAAGTACTTTGCATAAAGAAATACAAAAGAGAAACAAGAAAAAAATTAATTTCCAAAATTTTATAACATATGAATTATTCACCACAGTCAACTTCAGGGTTCTACTGTCATAGTTTCTTCCTTCACTTTGATTAATACCTCAGCATTCTTCAGTACCACTTTTTGATTCAACTTTAAGTGATGGAGGACATTTCTCCCTTGTTCTGTGATTAGTATCATTCACACAAATTTGTCAGATTTAAAAGAGTATCTTATTGCAGGAAGCGCACACTAATTTTATTATTTTCTCTGCAGGTATAATCATTATAGGCTATAAACATTTATATTAATTACTACAGTATCTATGAAGTTAACTAAACATACTAACTATAAGAGAAAATATTACACTCAAAACATCAACAGAGTAGTATTATGGTTTTGTTTTGTTTTTTATTAAAAAAACTTTAAAAATTATTTGTATTCGGGAACTAGTGGGTTTTCTCCTATTAGAAACCGAGACTTCAAATATGGCTAAATCTTTACATGTGAAATTATTCTCCTAGCAGCTCTGCAACATAATGCTTGTAAAGACTGTAATTATTTGTAAGCATAATTCAGGCCTTGCATGAAAAGCTGTTTTGTAGTCTCTGTTTCCAGAAACAGAAACCTATTTAGACTTTCCTTCCTCTTTAATCTTCCTTTCCTTACTTAACTTTTGGTAAATCAAAAGAACAGGAAGCTTTAATATGAAAGGGTCCTTCCATACCTTTAACCATAAATAGTGTCTTGTATAAAAAAAAAAAAAAAAAACCAACCCTGGAGAACATTTACATTGTGCTTACTTGCAGATATACATGGATATTAAGTCCCAACATAGAAACTATGCAAATCCCTCTTTCTTCCCTTCAGTAGAATCAATTCTACTCTCCATATATTCTCTCTCCTGATCCACTTTGCCTTTGCTATCCCAGCCGAAACCAGGACACCCCTGCCTCCCCTTTTCTGCTCTCTGTGAGCTTTCCTGCTTGTGACATGCTTCATAAAGCTTTAATTAGCTTTTTTTCCTTTAGCAACTCGTTGCTCAAAGTTTCACTGGACAAGCCCTGGGTAACCTGGCCTGACCTTATAGCTGAGCCTGCTTTAAGCAGGAGATTGGGCTAGATGACATCCTGGGGTCCCTTCAACCTGAATTATCCTATGGTCCTGTGGCCTCACATGCAATGAGGCTGACGTATAGGGGAAACTCGGTAGAGTGTGAAACAAGATTATGACTTAAATCAGGTGACTGAAGAGATAACTGAGGCTGCATCTACTGTGCAGTCAGGTAGCACAGTCCCACCTTGCTGGAGCAACCGCTGCAGAGAAGCTGGGCAGCTGGGACTCAGAAGACAAGCCCACAAAGTCATGTCTGAAGTGTGATTCTTATCCGAGCTCATTTATTCAATGGTAGACTAGGTATGTTTTCCAGACTGTGATCCACCCCTGACTGTAGCACAGGCATACGCCCAAAGCTCAATTGCACCTACGCCGTAAGGCACAGGGCTTGCCATCGGTGTGAACAGCCCCCCTGAAGTGTAGAGAGCAGCTCCAGGGGCACAACAGCACCCTGAAGAGGGATTGCTCTGCCAGGTTTGCCTCGCCTCCCGTACTAGCTGGGAACGGCCACCCTGCTAGCCACTGTCTCTCAGCAGTCGGGTGGCAAAAGTTCAAATTGCCAGAGGTTCTCATTCGGCAGGGGTTACGTCCGTCTGCCAAGAATACAATCTCTTTTATTGCCCTAACAAGTGAATGAAATGAAAACATTAACAGCATTAAAGCACAGATCTCTGTGAACAAAGAATTAGCTTCCAGCCACAACAGCCAGACATTTCGGATTTCACTCCCTGTGAACGAACACTCATTACGAAGCAGAAACTCCAGCCAGTCGTGTGGAGACCTCTCACAGACCACCTGCCCTGCTGCGCTGGGAGCTGCTGCTGGAGGACATTCTGCCTATTGCTCATGCTCTTTAACAACCCCATCTCACCTGCAGTTGTGACAGAAGATGGCCAGCCATCAGGATTTTGGGATCATCGATTCACCCCAGGGACCTTCAACAAGCCATTTAACCCCAACATCCTAATTCACTCATTCGAGAAATGGTCACAGAATTTCTGTTTGCGAGCGCAGAGAAACAGTTTAAGAATTTCAGATTAAAGTGTTGGGTGCACAAAGTAGCACATTTAGGCACTGCCAGCTCTAATACTGGAAAATTCACCATGTTCCTAGCCTCAGATTTGGCCTTCCAGCATAGCCAAAACGGCTGCATTTCATTTAACAATTGTGAGCATCTCATTCAATTTGAACAGCGATACAGGATGTAAATTTTGCACACTAAACAAACTCCACAGTGAAATGGCTTGAGTTGCTGGCAGACTAGTACATCTCCACAATGAGTCACTACTGAGTGTTTTTCAGCAGATTTCCCTTCTCTGGGAAGCTAAAGCATCTTTGGTGTAATCTCCCACATATTTGCAATGACTGGTACACACTGAGGTACATTAAATCCACACATGAAATAAGCTTTTGATTTTTCAGCTACTGTGAGGAAAAGAAATTAGGCATCCTCAACCAGTGGGAGGCAATACATACAGAAACCTAATGAAAAAGAACCAGGCATAATGAGACACGGATTAGGAAGAGACTTGTTTAAGAAAATAGGCATAGTATTAAGAAAAAAATCAGGAAAAAGTACTGTCAGACAGTGAAATACATGATAAGCCAAAAACTCCTAACAGTCCACTGTTGTCACTGTTCATGAGAAAAATGGATTTAAAAACCACGTGGTCAAGGTGGGTTTTTCCTATTTATGCCAGTAACTGGAGCAGTAATGGAGCTGACGCAAGGGAGTTCCACCACTGCCAAAAACTGTTTAGTCTTAACTAAATAATACCTTTTAAATAATCAGAAAAAGAAAAAAACCCAAATATCAACAAAGACAGCCTTGAGGTTTTGGGGGGATTTAATTTAAAGGTGAGTTATGTATCTCTACAAATAACCAATGTACTGAACCTCTGAATATTTTGGCTTTTTTATACCATAGTATAAAGTTTTCCTTCCATACATCCTCCTTTCTCTGCTTTTGACATGAAAAAATCAGGTCATGATAGCCCCAGAAGACAAGAGTAACTAGAAAACTAATGAAATCATGGCATATTAATAATCAGGAATAAAAGTTAAACAACAAGAAGGGACTTCTAGTTAAACTCTATCAGTTTTGCATTTTTAAAAATAAACCTATTTAAATTCAATGTCTATTTAACATTTGGAAGACACCTGCCTCTGATGAAAGTTCAGCACTGGGACTTTAAAAATTTGTTTATCCATTTGAATTCTTGAAACACTAAGGAGTTCCTAATGTAGATTTAATTTGTCAGATGAGGAAAGAAAAGATGAAACATTCTCTGAAACTCTAGTGTTCTCCTAAAAATCCGAGCAAGCATCCAGACTCACCTTCCAAGACAAGAGAACAAAAACCAAGGTGGTAAGGGTGAAAATGAAATTTAAAATTTAAATGAAAAGGTAGAGAAAAAGGAGGTACAATTTGAAATAAAGGTTCTGCTAGGCCGCCTTCACAGAGAATTATAAACTCAGTGAAAGTCTCTAGAATGACAAAGTGAACTTTAACATTTACAAAAATTCTGCTTACACCATTTGCAGAGTTAATTCAAAATTTTTCTCTTCTGAATTCTCTCCTGAAATTATAGTAAAGCTCTGATTAAAGATTAAGAATTGGTAAGCACTTCTCAGTATGTGACCATTGCCTTATTACTACAAGATCTAGTATGGAGCCAGAGAGAAGAGGATT